TGTTTTGATAATGACATTTGAAGAAAGGGGTGGCTGGGAGCAGCAAGCCGGGGTGAGGGTGAGCTTGGAACGAGAGGCACGCCATAACCCCGCATTCGTGGAGGAGGAGGTCTGCCAGCTACTGTTACCTTTGAAAATCAGTTTCTGGGAAACATAGACGGGAGCGTGCTATGAAATTCATGCTGTTTGTGAGATTCCAGCAGGCGTCTGGTTGGCCTTGTAGGCGATGCCAGCTCCAGATTTCCCGGGGCTCTTGGGCAAGGCACCCTCACTTGGCTGTCTCCTTCAAGGAGTCAGTCTCCCCACCATGGCCACCAGCTGCAATTTCTCCTCTTCTTCCTTCTCACCATGGCTGCCACTTGCTTACTGGATAGGCAGAGTGCCAGGGAACAAGGGGACCATGCTCTTCCATTATCTGGCCCAGAGCAAGAGGCAGGTACAAAACCAGGTGGCGATGCTGAACGGGAGGCTTTTGAGGGGCCCTCATGAGTGGCCCCCTCATGGAGTAGGGGCCTTTGGCAGGTGTCACGTGAAGCCTGCCCTTGAGGCCAACCCTGCCTATGGAAATGGGCTGCTGTCCCGAATGGTGCTTTGGTCTGAGCCAGCAGGGCTGCACTCATGTCTTGTCCTCCTTTTTTTTTTTTTTTAGGTTGCATTAGCACTGCATTGTCCAGCCTGTGGATGCCCAGGTCTCCAGCACTGCAACATCTTCATCACAGGCGCTGCTTCTGCCTAGCTCAGCTGTCGACAAAGAAAATGACTACCGTAGCCAGGTAAGGAAGGTTTTTATTATGAGGCTTGTGGTTAGTCACTCACCTTCAGATGTTGGCTGATCCATGCAGGTTGGCCTTATCTCTTGTTCCTGTGCTGACATCAAGTGTCTGCAACACTGGACTGTTTGGTGTTCTTTATACCGGGGTGTTGGAACCTTGTTTCATCCTGAGCGCTGAATCCAATTTCAGAGTTGCTCATGGGGGGCAGGAGGGTACATGGCAGAGACAAAGAAGGTAGGGCCAAAGTAGCAGTGTTAAGTTTAACTTAAAACCCTTCTTGTCAGTAGCTTAATCTTAGGTCAGCCTTTTAACATGGGGTGTTGCTGTACTCACACCTTGCTTGTAGGCTTCCTAGAGGGACCTGTGTCTGACCATGGTGGGAAGAGGGTGCTGGAGGAAAGAGGGGCTTGGTCTGAACCAGCAGCACTGATCTCATGATTTCAAAGTCCTTTGAGTACACACAGATCCTGGTCATACTTTTGCCTTTATGGGTGAACACAGAAAAGGATCCCAAATCCTGTTCGGGATGCAGGCTGCTAAGAACTGCATTTGGATGCAAGCCTGGTCATGAATCAGGTAGGAAAGTGTAATGTTTTCCAGTGCCATTTCATGTGCAAAATGTGAACTACTGCATTGTCTCTGTACTGTGGCCAGCAAGGCAGCCTCCTTAATCTTTTTATCCTGTCCTTCAAGCGGATCAAGTGTGGTGTGCTTTCCCCCTCTGCTTACCCTCAAAAATCCTATGAGGCAAGTAATGCAGAAGAAGAGGCCGGATCTGCTCCAAGACCCCCCAGTGCCTTCCATGGCTAGGCCACACTTCGGAGTCGTGTCTCCCCAGTCCAGCTGTACCTGACACTCCAGACACTAAAGCAGGTTCCAAAATCTTTGACCAGGCTGGGAGGGCCAGGTGGAGTGATGGAAATTAGAATCCAGCACATCTGGAGGGCACCAGGCTGGGGAAGGCCACACTGTAACACAGCATTCCCTGCAATTCCTCACACTTCTGTTACTAGAATTACGAGCTTGGCTATTTTACTTGATGGTTGGACCATCAGGGACTCAACCAAACTGGTTGGATTAGTTTTAATGGTTCGGAGTCTCTCTCTAGGTGCTGGGATGCCAGTCACACTGCTGAGAAGCTCTCTCAGCCTCATAAACCGGGAGCAGGGAGAATGGCTTTTCAGCACAGAAGGCAATAAAGTTAGGCAAGTGCTGTCCATTCACACAAAAGCATTGACGCCGAAAGCTGAAATGTTCCGATTCAGAAATATGAACTGTGGTGACTTTGGAAGACTTGTACAAAGCCAGCATCACACCCAGTATTCCTTTTTCTGTTAGGATTTTAAGCCAAAGGTTGGTGTTTGGATGGAAGATGCAAGTCAGGCCACCTGTTGTGTTCTCAGTGATATTGGCAAAGGGTGCAAGGATCTGACTTGGCACGTAATAAACAGAACTATGTTTCCAAGAATTGAGGGTGGAGGGAGATGCTGTTCCACAAGCTCAGCTGCAAGGTGTAATTGAGCTAACTGGGGTTCCTGCCATCGTGACTTCACTTTCTGTAGCAATGCAGCTTAACCTGTAGCATTGTGAAACCAAATAAAACTCAAATCAGTGCGAACTTAGGAATAGGTAATGGGAGGGTTTTTTCACACAATAGGTAAAAGTCAGACAACACTACAAACCAGCAGAAAGGTGTGGTTGGTTGGCTTTTTTGTTTGGGTTTTTTTTCCAGTTTTTATTGAGTGAAAATGTCAAACCTTGCATCAGTCATGCAAAAAAAAAATCAAATAAATAAAACACATATATTAAATTTCTAATAGCACTAAATTCAAGTGGAAAAATATTCAGTTCTTAATAACGCAGGTGCTGAGGAGACCAAATTCAAGTAAAATCAGAGCACACCGTCCTGTTTTAGGATTTTTTTTCACTTTCCGCAGTATTATTATTTTGTCTCAAAACCTATATATAGCTATATATCTATATATATAGATATATACATATAGATATATACACACACATATATATGTGCATACATATTATATTTATATTTATATATATATATATACACATACATATTTATAAAACATTAAAAAGAGCATTGGTAGTTCAAGCATCACTTCTTTTTCTCCCACCCCCCCACCCCACACAGAAAGGAAAAATAAAAATAAAAACAACAACAAAAAGAAAGTACACATTTTAAAATTCAAAATGAGCTAGCAATGGCTTATAGTCCTAGTGTGCAATATGGATTTTACAAAAGGCTAGAATTCTCCCTCATAAATCGTCTCTGTGTGTATGTATAGGTGTGTTTTTCTTTTCTTTTTTTAAGATCTAGGGCCTTTTAAAAAAGCAACTTTCTGCTACATGGAAGTTTCTCTTTCAGTACACACAAACAGTATAATTTCTTTGTTGTGGCTAGGGTCTGGCTTTTTTGTTCACCCAGGAAGCCGTTGTGGGTGTGGAGGAGCTAGTGCCTCCTTAGAGTTCTAGTCATTTTTCTTCCTTAAAACCCCTCCCCTTGTCACGGCCCCCCCTCCCAAAGCCACCATCCTGCATTCTCTGCCACCAATTCAGCAAGGGCTTGTAAGCACAATTTTTCAAAAATCCACGACTGCCTGCTGTTTGTTGCCTGCTCCAGCACCTATTAGAGCCATTCTCGCGAGGTGGCTCGGCATCCAACTGGCTGACTAATCCCAGTGCCCCACTGTTTCCTTAGGATCGTATGGCCGTTCCTAGGGCTTGGGGGGCGGGGGGCCCCACCCTTGCTCAGAGAACACATTTATTTGCCAAAAGTAATGCTGCATTTTGACATACCCACACCTCCACTCTGACAGAAGGGGTAGATATTTTCAAATGGAGTGTAACATAAAGGAAGGACTTATGTGGCATATTGCTGGGGGTGGGGGGGATATTAAATGACTTCTTTAAAAACTAATAGCATCTCCTTTTTAAGCCCATTCATAAATGTCCTCTAACCACAGTGTATTATAAGTGCTTCCTCCAAAATCGGGGTGTCCAACAGGGAGTGGTGCATAATGTTTGTTTTATATGTCAAAAGAGTCTGTTTCATTATTTCGAATGGGGAAAGGGGAGAAGGCTGTCTCAGTAGCTGTTCAGGTGGATTTCGACTTGTTCGGCTCACGGTTGGAAGAAGGGGTGGAGGCGATGAGGGAAGCGGCTACGGGTTGGCTGCAGGCGTGGCCTTGCAACCCACCAAAGCTGCCTGTCTGCGGCTGTGCCTGCTCCCCAAGAGCATCCTCCTCACGCGCTTCCTTTCACGTCACTGACCAACTGACAAGGTACGGCGAGGAATCTGAAGCATCAGAGCTAATGCACAAGAAACCTGGGCAGCCAGTGCAACTACCGTACAGGTGCAGCATCTTGTAGGGACACACAGAATCCTTGCAGCTCTTGGAGCTCTGGGTGGCTGGATGCCAGCAAGAGTTTTTCCATAGCGTACTTATGGTGGGGCACCTAAGAAGTTTAGAAAAGGGGATATGAACATTCAGGTTTCTTACAAATGATCCCTTCATCCATCTCCTAGGTTTACCAGACTAATGCCAACAGGAGTAAATAAGTTTTCCTGTATGTTCAATTTGATAATTTTCATTCTACCCAGTTATTTTGTTTCCCACCTCCCATTGTTTAATTAATTAATTAGGTGTGGTGCAGTTTCCCACTAAGCATGGTCAAGCACTTCAACATGCCAAAACTACTGGGAAACGTAAGTCTCTGGGTGAGGTTACTTTTTATTTAAAAGATCTATGACCCTATTGTCTGGGTGTTTGAGGTGGCTAGTGATTCATGTTAAAAAATGAAAGCCAAAAAAAGTCACGAATAAGCTTTAGCCTTGTTTCAGTTTTTTTTTTTTAAACCTAGGGAGGTGTGAGTCAGTATGCTGTGGAGAGTGCCAGAAAAACCATTGCCCCCATGCTTCCAGATTAAGCCAAGAACAAACAAATAGCACCATGTGTCTATTATTACAAGCCACACAAATAAATTAATTTGGAGTGCATGTGGCACAGAAAATGAAATGGTCAATCTTAATGTTTCTTGTGTGTGTTTTTAAACTGCATAATTTAAAATTCACAATTGTTTGGTGATCAGTATTGACAGAAGCAAAAATGTAGGTGGGGAAGACCCCTTTCTCTGGCTTTTCACCATATGATAGTTTTGAGTGGAGGGGGAAGGGTCCACACTTATGAATGGGCAGAAGAGATAATGGTACACTAATAACCAAATATTTTATTGAAGGGACTTTTCCACAGGGCCGAGTTTCTCACTGTATACTCATAGAGTATTACCTTTGTATGGCTATTTTCTCTTTGTTTTTTTATATATATATATATAATATATATATATATCTATATCTCTAACAGTAACTTTTACAGGGGGAAAAATACTGTACAGCTATTTTTTTCTTGGACATTTCCTTATCTTTTTCTTTGTCACTCTTTTTCTTCCTCCATTGCGGTTTCTTGTTTTAAAAGCTTTTTAAAAGTGTTACTGGATCACATTCTCATCCTTGTTCTGGGCTGACATGTTGCTGGCATGTGATTGTTTGGAAGGGAATTTTTTTAAAATGAAGACAAACCTCTCAGTCTGTCTGTGTTTCTGCACCAAGATGGAATCTCCCCCTGGAGCCATGTCCCTCGCCCACCCCCCACCGGCCCAGCTTCGTTAGGTGCTCAAACATTCAAAATTGAACCCAGCAAAAGATTTTTGGGTGCCTACAGAGTAAAATGTGACCTTTCCTTCTTGGAGGCTTTAAGAAATTTCCCTTATCTCTAGGAATGCCTCATCTGTAACTAGAGGCTGTGCAACCGCTTTAACTGGAGCAACCCGGTACACTGGGTTGGTCTGTGAACTGCAAGCTGGGATAGTAGCTTCAGAAGGCTATCACATTCCCTGTCCACAATTCTAAGGTAAGACACCTACGAATATTCAGTGAAGGATCTTAAGTAGATTTGATGCCCCCCCCCCAAGCCTGCTACCTGTAAAAGAGCCCCAACTTTGCCCTTACCCATCACAGACTACACTTGAGCCAGGAGGCCGAGCCGGGAAGATGCAACTGCTTCCTTACTGCAGTGACATATCCTGTCCCCAGGACCCAGCCCTGTGATGAGGCACTGCCTCTATTACCCTTTTCCTTCTATTAGCAGCGAGGCAGAGGGCACGCTGAGCTCATGCCTCCTGTGCCTGATACAGCGTGTGGGTCTGCAGCCTGGACAGCAAACCGTGGGGCTTCCTCAGGGCAGAGGCGCTGGGGTTGGGCTGGTTAAATCCAAGCCTTTTTTTCACAACCTTAGGACCTTTTCACTGCCACCCCATGTGCCCCCCACTCCTGGTCAAAGCCTCACCAGAAAGGGGTAGCTCCCCTCAGGCAGGAGCAGCACAATATAAATAAGTTTGTTCTTCCTTAAAAAGAGATTATTATTAATTCTTATTATTTAATAATAAAGCAGACCTGGAAGATTAGAGAAGTGTCCCCATTCCCAGCCTTGTTTAATTCATTAATGCGTCTCCCTCTCTCTTTCAAAACAAAACAAAAAAACCCTGACAATAAATACCCCTTTCCCGACCATCCCAAGCTGCCTGAGTCCCGTTTCTCCTGTTCAGTCGATGCTGGAGAAATGAAATAAGTACAAATGATACTGCCGCCCCAGCCCCCCCTCCCCGCACTGCCCCCGATGGCGAAGGACTTAGTTTGTGGCTTGAAGGAACCAACAATCCTCCACTGCAAATGCAAACATACAGAAGTATGCGTGCACGTATGCACATGTACGTGTATGCATCATCAACATCCCTAATATTCATCACCGGATGCTAGCTGCCCCCTCTCCCTGAGAACGGGAGGAGTGTCAAAGGACAATTGAAAATGGGAAGCTAAAGTAGAAGCTGAAGCAATCGCCTCTCTCACCGCCACAAGCAGAGGCTTGGGAGGCATGGGGAGCTCGTGCCCTTGTGGCTGGCACATCCGCCCCGGAGGAGAAGGGTCCCTTCTCCATGGCCCGACCCTTCTGCACCAAGTGAAACGAATCACCGCCTGCCACCCTGTAAACATGAGCGTCCCACAGATGGGTCCCCTGCCTCCCCATTCCTCACAGCCTGAGGCTGGCTGGATGGCTGCTCTCTCTTGCATGGTCCAAGGATTTGCAGTTTCCTCTTTTGACTTGTGCACTTTCTGGGGTGGAGTTGTGTGTGTGTGTTTGTGTGTGTGTGTTTGCCTCTTGCCACTGCAGCGTTTGTTCTTGCCTCCCACAGCGGGGTCCTCTCACTCATTCAGTTTGCTTTCCTAAAGATCAAACCCTGCTGCTTTCTGTGTGTTAAGGAGAGGCTTGCGGGGCAGGGCCTGGGCCTGGCTCATCAGGAGGTCTGGAAGCATCACTGTGGTCTGCTGGGGGAGATGTGGCCTCCCCCCGCTCCCTCACGTCCTTAGCAGGCATGCCCTCCGTGTCAGGGAGTGACTCTTCGGAATCTGTGTTCAGGTCATCCTCCTCCTCCTCCTCCTCTTCCTCGTCCTCATCCTCGTCGTCCTCGTCCTCATCCTCCTCATTCATTTCCTCCTCCTCATCATCCTCATCACGGGAAGAGTCCTCCTCCTCCTCCACGTGCCCACAGCTGGTGAGTAGACGCTCACTTTCTGCAGGGGCCCCAGCCTCTCTGGCAGGGGAAGGCATGCTGCCCGCTGCCTCCAGCGGCTTCTGGCTGAGGTCCAAGGAGTCGCTGAGTCCCACGCCAGCCGCGTTCTTCAGGAAGAAGAGGGCACTGTTGGCATCCGTGCTGAGGTTGAGCGAGCTGTCCAGGTTGACAGAGGAGTTCTGCGCGTCGTACTCCAGGGTGGCGTGGGGGAGGCCCTCGGGGCCCGGGGAGATGGCCGGCAGCTCTCCGCGCTCCTGCTTCTCGTGCTTGCGCTTGTGAGAGTCCATCTGCGACATGCCCACCACCGTGTGCTTGCAGCCCGGGTAGGTGCAGTGGAAGTGGGAGCACTTGAGCTTGTACTTGCAGTCGGGCACCTCGCAATCCACGCTGGAGCTGAACTGGCAGAAGCCGGCGGCGCTGATGACGTCCTGCTTGCCGTGGTGCTTGCGGTGGGCCGTCACCTTGGTGCTGTCGGTGCAGCGAAAGCCGCAGCGCAGGCAGTGGAAGTGTGTGCTGTTGCCCGAGAACTGGCAGTCGGGGAAGTTGCAGCTGAGCGAGGACTTGAAGCGCTTGAAGTCATCCAGTACCAGGTTGTCGACGCGGTCGTGGTGCTGTGCATGCTTGTACATGTGGGTGCGGCCACAGAACTTGTACCCACAGTTCTCCCGGGTGCAGTGGTAGTGGGTAACCTTCAGGGAGAACTGGCAGCCGGCATCCTTGCAGTCCTCATAGAGGTCGTACCGCCGGAAGCCCTCCAGCATCATCCCTTCGTCCAGCATCTTGCGCGAGGATGCAGTTTTGCGCCGCTTGCCAAAAGGAGACATGTCCTCGATGATCCAGAAGCGCTTCTTGGCTCCCGCCGCGGTTGGCATGGTGATGGTGTTCCCTAGGGAGACACAAGTGGAGACCAAATGTATAACTGGACTGCACCAGGCTGTTTCCCTCCTTGCTTCTTGTCTAATGTGGGTGGATGCAAACAAACAGTGTTCTCTAACCTGTCTTGATGCTTGGGAGCAGAGTGCTTCGGGCTGGCGGTGCACACGAGCTCCAGCAGCACGCTTCAGAAATGTGTTTGCCCAACCTTCAGGCACACTAATTCCACTTCATTACCATATTTCTAAAGCATGGCCATTGCGAAATCGACACAGGCTTTGGGGAGCAGAAGTGTGTTTATCTGAAACCACACAGCCTGTCCTGCTGTCGAACACAAGGCTCTCACTGGGCCCTGGCCTGATAGCGTTCATCTGGGCTCATCTGTCCTTTCCCTACAGTGGTTTGGCAAAACTTCAACAAAACGAACAGGAAAGCCTTATGCTTATGTTTCTCATACTTTTAACTTGCGCTCTCTTTTCCCTGTGGCTCTTTTTCTAGGAGAAGGCTTTTATCATCTCTTTCTGTCCATCATACCCAACTATCTGTCATATAGTTTCAAGGTAGCAGCAGTTCAGGACAGACCATATTAACAAGTTACAAACTCAGCTGGGGTTATGGGCAACCCTGCTGTACCTCCCCATCTCATAACAACTGAAAAACCAATTTGACTGTCTGGTTAAGGTAAACATTTAGCTCCCTCTGTGAGGCCTTCCCTTGTCATTTACTACTGGAGTGGTTTTGATTATTGTTGATTATTGGAAGTTTGGCGATACGTTGGGATGATTTATGCTGAAAGATGGTATATAAATCTTTTAAATAATCAGATGAAGAAGTATTTAGTGATGCACGTAAAATAATAATCAACTGAAAGCATTTGCAGCATTAAAACTACCAATTGTACACAGCTCATGTAACCCCCCAAAACCTCCTAAGCTAATACAGATATGTGACTACAAGGACATGAACCCCGTTCCATCTGTGAGACCAAAATAGCAATTTATGGGGTCTACCTCTTCCCAAAGAACCCAATGCTTGCATTTACAAACAAGTTCATGCCCAGCTGGTACAAAATGGCAAGGTACTAGAAACCCTTTCCTTTGGATCTCAAGGAGATGCATTCCTTGATTTTAGGCGGCCAAGAGGTTTGGGAATAGATTTTATATTCCTGGGGGCCACTTGTTTAGAAGCCAACACCAGTCTGACAGGACTGAATACATGCTTCAGTTGCTAGCCCCAAACTGAATTCTAAGTTACCTGGGCCATCAAAAGCCATATCTCACTGCTATGTTGAGAGTTAACTCTGGTGCATTCCATACCCACGATTGTGCGAATAATTTCCATGCAGGAGATTAGTGTTCCTGTCCAACTCATCTGCTAGTGCAATCTAAAATAATCTTGTTGTTCTTCATAAGCCCATTATTTTTAAGGCACTGCAATCAGGAATCATCTGTGATGACTCTGGAATATAGTGGGAGGGTGGGTGTATAGTGACTTATGAAGGTAACTATGAGAGAAAGTGCAGAACTGTTTACCTGCCGCATCTTGAACTAGAGGGACATCACTTTTGACTGGAGCCGGAGTGGCAATGATGGGTGAAAACCCTGTTGAGCTGGCGGTGGGCACAACAATGCCCTTGCTGGATCCCAGCGTGGCGCTTAGCAGAGAGTATGAGACACAAGAGGGAGAGAAGAGGTATGGGAGGGAAGGGAGGGGAGACCTGAGCAGGGCTGGTGAGAAAGATGGAGGCAGAGGTGGTGCTTGTGGTGCATTGTGGGTAACGTCATCGCCAGCAGCAGCAGGAGGAAGAGGAGGAGCAGCCAGGCAGCCTGGAGAAATGTGGAAAGAAAAGAAAAAAATAGCAGGAAAAGAAAAGAAAAGACCCAAACCAAATGCAGAACAAAAAGGAAACAAACAAAAAGAACCAAAATGAAAACCCAAAAGTGTAAGCGATACAATGAAAATGGAGAGCATGTTCACACATACAAGAACAAAACTGTAACAGAGGAGATGGAGAGCATGTGATGAAGAGCAGCACCGGGGGGGGGGGCGGGTGAGGGTCGCTGAGGACAAGAGGGACGTGAAGAGAAGGCAAGGGCCTCTGTGTGGAAGCTGTGGCGAGATGTGTGGCTTGCTTCCTTGGCAAGGTGTGTCAGGTAGTGGAACAGCTTAAGGATCGTGGCACAGGCTGCTGCTTTGATCCTGTCAGTTCCACTTCTTCCTCATGTGTCCAGCAGGCATGTTAACCCGGGCTTTTAGCCCTGCTTTAATACCTGCCCCTCAGGCCAGTTGTAATTTGTGGTCATCAGCTACAATCATGCCACCGAGAGTCATTGCGTTAAAATTACATATCGCTGGGGGGACACCCTGAGACCGCACTGCACCCTAACGGTGCTCTGAGGCACGGTGACACACGGCAGCTGATCCCCATAACTGGCTGGCCCTGATTCTGTAAGTCAGGAGGGCAGAGCCTCTGGCCTGGGCACAGGCTCCTCCTGGGGTCCCAAATCTGCCCCTAGGACTTTCCTGGTGAGTATCCCCCCCTTCTCTTTTCCCCACCCACTGACCACCTTATACGTAGCTGAAGCACTGGCCCTCTTTTCTACGGGTTTCCAAGCTGCAGCTAGTGGTGTCAGTCCATGCACAACAGAACTTCTGCAGAGACAACTTGAAGTAAGCCCACTGTATGAAAATCATTCCATCTGATCCAACAGGCATGGCAAATAAACTGACATTAGCTTTAATGCCACTTCACCTTTGCAAGTCCCTGCCTGAATCGGGATCAAAAATCCTTCCCCACACAGAGAAAGGGGGTTGCAAAGGAGTCCCCCCAGGCTAACACAGAGACGGTTCTCTCCATGCTAAGAGCAGTGCGGACCAAGGGTGGCAAGAGGGGGACTGGGCCCGGTTTGCGCGCGAGAGGGCCCAGGCTGCGATGCTGGGCTTCCTGGAGGCAAAGGGTCTGAACAGAGGGCTGCCCTGCAGAACCACTTACCCGCTGAAGTGCTCTCGTTGCCCACCGGTGTGCTGGAGCAGCTGCGGTCCATATTGGACGATTCGGAGGAGATCCCACCCGGGCTGCACCCTGTGTAGTCCACGTACTCGTCTGTCTCAGTATCCATCATGCTTTGTGGTCCCTGGAAGGAAGCGGGAGTCCCTGACGAGGCTGGGCTGGGCGCCATGCTGCTGACCTGGCCGAGGTTTTCATTCCGAGGAGGATGCCCAATCACCTAAGGCGAGAAAATGGGTATGGGGGGCACTGTTACTTCTGTGCCACCGTCGGGCCTTTGACGGCTGACATTACATTTGCCTACACTGCATTTCCCAACACTGTTCCCTACGGACTGCTGGGCACGTAGGCTGGGGCATGGAGGCCATGCTCACTCATACCCCCGACTCCGGGCATGGAGGGCTTTAATGCTGGCACCAGGGAATCCTGCCGTGGCCATACAGGCAAAGCCGCCACAGCCTGAGAGTGCTGATCTTGGCACGGCATGGGCCGTGCTGCCTGTGGACTGACACACAGTTGGGGCAGGGGGATCTTTCGCTTCTGCTGCCTTGCTTGGCCCAGATTTTGTCTCCCTGATTGGTGTGTCCTTTAAAATATGTCACAGGCAAAAGACAGACACCCCCGTGCCTTGGATGCCTTTCCTCCACCTTCCCAAATGAATGCGCACGTACAGGACAGGCATGCTTTGGACATGTCTGATACAGAGAAATGCAGTGTTGGTACCAAGTGTCCATGTGGGTTTTCAGGGGGAGATCTATGACTGGTGCGCATTCTGCTTATGCATCCTTTTCTGGGAGGGCCTTAAAAATCCAATGCAACATTTTCACATGCACAAAGCATGGGAGACTAGGGAGAAAGTGGTGGGGCCAAGAAGCACCCCTGCTGAGTCTCCGGAGAGCTGCTCCCAAGCCAGTGCAGGTGGCACTGGGCCGAATGGACTAGCTCTGTGCAAGACCCTTCCTGTGCTCCTAAATATTGTCCCTTTAAAGCAACAACGTCAAGGAAAGCATCATAAGAGTCACCTGAGTGGGAACCCGGTCGAAGTTCTTCCCCAGCATCCTTCTCATGTGTTTCCTGGCATGGGACGTCATCTGATGCTTCAGCAGGAAAGAGAACTGGCAGCCCTCACGAATGCAGTGAAAATGGCTGTTGACTTGGTTGTACTTGCAACCTGGGAAGGGAAAATGCAAAACAGATGCAGCTTCACAAGGCGGCGGTGGCTGGGGGTGAGCAACAGATGTGCGCCAGGCGCAGGGCTTGGCAGGAGTTTCCCTCTCTGTGACTGCTGCAAGGGGTCAGCAGTCCAGGACATGTGCCAGCATTTCAGATTCCAGATCCCTAAATGTGCACATTAAATGCTTCCTAACGTGAGAAAAGGAAGCAGAGAGGGCTCTCTTTGGTTCTAGAGAGGTCAGAAATCAAACTCTCTTTAAAGTAGGAGGTTTAAAAAATGGATCCCTTTCTGACAATGGTGAGAAGTCGCGGAGAGCTCCATTAATGATCTTGGAGGGAAAATACGTCTCTCTTGCTTTTCTCCTCTACTTTGGTCATAGCACATGGCAAAGGAATGGCTGGAGAGGGATCAATGCAGAGCAGTTTTTTTAATCTAGCAAGGGATTAGAGCCATCATAATTGAGCATGACTGAGTCCTTCCTACTTTGGCAAAGGCAGGGAAGCAGTCCCAAGCAGACAAGAATGAAAAAGTGCTCTTCGACTTTCAGGCAAGGGTGAGGAGCCCAAAGAGCTCCGGATGTTATTGGACTACAACTCCCATCATCCCAGCTCACTGACGAGGATGGCTTGGGCTGATGTGGAATCCGACTGCACTGGGTACAGGGGAGAGGGTTGGAAGGTGCTAATATGGGCTTTGAATGAAAGCAGGAACCCTGTGGTGGTCTGGATATCCGGGCTGCCCCACAGCTGGGTGACCCAAAAGCACTGGGTGGCATTGGCAAATACAGAGCCGCCTGCTTACCTGCTGAAACACTTGGTTATGGTGGGCTGCAGCCAAGATTTAGGATTTGGATGGGGTGCCAAATCATGCCCTTTGGGCGAGCTGCTCCCTTTCATCCGCAAAAGTGGAACAATACTGTCCTGCCTGCAAGGATGTTGTGAGGCCAGCAGGGATCTCCAAGAGGCCACGGGGCCTGGCTCTCAAGGGCTTGCAAGGCCTTTCATTCCCTCAGTAGGAACAGACTGCTAGCAGGCAGGACTGACTGCACGAAAACACTTGGCTTTCTTTCTGCCTATCTGCATGTTGGGTATGTGCCTGCCTCCACAGACCAGGGACTAACGTTTTCCCTATTTGGCGGCTCTGTGCTTTCCCAACTTTATAGTGTTGGCTGAAAGTACCAGAAAGAGTTATGGGCAGTGGATATGCCTCTTTTCCCTCTGAGAGCCATTCAAATTCCACTTTTGTAGGTGGGCTCAGACAAGACTTGCTTGATGTGATAATACCCAGACATGTTAGCTCTTGCTTGGTGGGGATGATGGGAGTTGAAGTCCAACACATCTGGAAAGCACCAGAAATGGGGAAGCCTGGCCTAGACAAACCGCTGGTGCCCCAGCTTCTTCCCCTGGAAAAGAGACGTTTTATGTGACTCTCCTTAAACACTTAATATGTGCTGACAGAGTTTATTAACTCTGGGCCCCAAGGTCCCACTCATTCATTGGCTAGCCCAATTTATCACAGGCTAAGAAGAAGTGCCCTGATTAATTGGAAAGCAGAATCTTTTCATAAAGTACTATTCTGAAATGCCAGTACTTATCCAAATTACAGTTAGCGAGCGCCAACTTCAGAAGAAGTTCGCCTCTTTCTCTTCCATGCAGAAGAGGGAATGCCTCCTCTAAGATGATCTCCCACAGCCTATTTATTTATTTCTAAGATTTATTAGATGCCTTACTGCAAATAGCTTTCAGGGCGTCATACAATAAAAGCACAAATAAAATCCAAAATCTATACACATCAAACAAGAAGCAGCATAATAAATCAATTAAAAGGAACAGAGACTAAAGCAGCAGCCATGGCAGCACCACATCCAAAAATATCACAAACCTTAAACTACTCCAGATGCAGCATAGCTGCAGGAATATAGGGGAAAGAATAAAAGGCCTAGCTCTATGTTTCAGAATTACTGATTCACTCATACACAATTAACCAGAGCACATACCATTAATTGAGAAAGATTGCTTTAATTTGGTGACAGGCCTAAATCTGAATGTGTTTTCTGCTTTGGAGCCCTGTGTTTCAGGAGTTTAAACAATACCATGAGCTGGTGGGTTTCCTGCCTTTTAAAAATACTGATGTGTTTACCCAGAAGCTTACCCTGAGATGGAAACTCGTTCAACCCAGACTCTGCAGATTGAAGCATCAGCCTGTCCAGGCCCAAGTACTCCATGCAGCAGCGGCTGTCAGCAGACTGGCCTCCCGGGCATACCTTTGCACACAGAAGGCCTGAATTCTGGCTTCTCCAGGTAGGGCTGGAAAGCTGCTGCTTGAAACCCTGCAGAGCTGTTGCTGCTGCCATTTGGCGTCAACAACCCTGGGCTAGAGGGACCAGTTTCCCCTGGATTGGAAACAGGGATGAATGAGCAATCCAATGGGGCTGAAAATCCCACAGATTTTCATGATCCCCCTCCCCAGTTGTGCTTTGGCAGCCCTGTGTTAGCACCAATTACCATGGAATGGGTTGAGCCAACTTGTGTACTTCAGTGTTGAAGACAGGATACAATTCACACATTTAAAAAACCCAAAGGAAATTCACACAAATGCCAGTAGAATAATGTAATGTTTGGCTTCCTCTCTGTGTAAATCACTCCAGTTTAATTTGTGCAAATCATATAATTTGTGCAATTTTCTTTAGTGGGTGTTTTAAAAATGCATGGACAGCGCTGCTTTCTCTTAGAGAAAGAAATATGCAAAATCCCCCCTCCTCACAACTAGGACCACAGCTGATTCTTGGATCAGAAATGGCCGGGATATCCACCGAGCTCACCAAGCAGAGTTTCTCAGTGTCGGCACATTCCTAACGGGAAGCGCTTCGCGTGCTGAAAATGCAGCGTAAGCGGCTAATGCCCCCGTCCACTCCGTGCATGCACATCCAGGTGCGTCACAAAGAGCAACCCTATTTCTCAGCACGCTCATAAAGCGCCATGCTGCAGCCGGACTCTGAGTCAGGCAAACGGTCTGCTCTCAAGGACGGGAACCTCTCTTCCATTTCTCTGACTTGGTATTTGTTCAGACAGTGCCCTTGCCTCCCCTCAACCAGCAGAAAAGCTCTTCCCCGCCCTCCCTCCCTCCTCACCGCCCCTATGATGCCACTGCTGTGATCCCTGGTCCAGAGGAGGAACAAACAACGCTGGCAGGACTGAAACTGTATCAGCCACAGACAGGTGAAGGCTTGCCCGTTGCTGGGGCAGCCGAGTGTCGCATGGCTTCAGCCGCCTTTGTCTGGCCCTGGGCTCCCCCCCAGAACACAGAAGGCTGAGCAAACAGCTGTCCCAGCCAAGTCTCCCAACACTGTAAACCAAGACCCAGGTAAGGGGCGCCCATGCCGCATTGTTTCCCGTTGCCCAGGTTACCACTGATCGCTTGCTGCTTCTCAGACATAAATACTTTATGAAGTACAAAGATCAGGAGGAGCTTTTTCTCACACACTCTTTCTGCCCCAATCCAATTCTCTGTGCATCTTTTGGTGTGTGTGAGGGAGAGGGAGCGAGCGAGCGAGCACACATTCAATGACTATTTTTTAAATCCTCTGTCCATAAAAATAGTTATGTTGGGTAGCAGAGGTGCCTGAACTCAAAGTGGGCCCTGCTATATTTGTTATCTGGTGAGTGAGGTCCAGGCAAAAGCATCTCAGAGCAGTACAACAAAGAGATACAAACAATGACTAAAGAGAGAGTTAACATTTTGGAGCCCTCAAAAGCCAGAGGGGGTCCAAAATTGGCCCTGAGTATGTCCATGTTTTTCTTGGGCCATTTGCAGGGGAGAAAGTTGCGAACGCCCAGGTTTGGTTTGGGGTGTTGTCCTGTCCAAGGAAGCTCCATCAGTAGCTTGAAACCTTCCTCTACTTACGAAAGCAGCTTGTCCATCAGAGAGCCTTGTGAGTCCCCTTGACCCTCTTGTGTGACACCGCAGCCAAGGAGGGGTGTTTGAGGTTATCCTTCCCTAACCTGGAGCCTTCAAAATGTATGGTGCTCAAAGTTCCCAAAGCCTTCCTAACAAGGGAGCTGCAGAACAACGCAGCCGGGGCGCTGGGCTCCGAGGCTGTCCCACGCGTTGGGTGGGCCTTACCAGTTCTAGGTGTGCCCTCGGGTAGATGTGTGGATGGGGAGCCAACATCCTCTTGGCCTCCAAGGAGTGGCCCTCCTGGTGTCGGCATCTCCAAGAGCAACCCTCGTCGGTCAACCTCTCAACCCTTTGCCTCGACTGTGCTGCCGAAGGCGCCTCCCGCGCCCCGGCCTTCCTTTGTCCATCACGTCTTTCTAGTCACCTCGCAATACCTCTGCCAAACTTCTCTCCTGCTATCATCATGCCCCCTTCTCTGTCAGCGCTGGCTGCATGTCATAACCAGTGCCGCCCAGTAAGCTGTTAGACAAGACTCCGAGAAACTGTCCTGGGCACCAAGATAACTGCCACGGGTGAACAGAAGGGAGGAGGACCTTGCCCAAAAGATGGGGCCCAAGGCAGAGGAGGGCTCTGAGCCCCAAGCCACCACACAGTCACTTCGAATGCACAGTTGCCAACACCAACAGAGCCCTGCTTCAAGCAAGGGACTGTGTTAAAGAGGGAGGGAGGGTCATGGCCAGGACAAGAGTCTGGGGGAGCACTGGTGCCCGTGCTGGCCCATGCCTGGGCACCATGTTGCCTACCCTCGCTGCAGTCCATAAGACTTTAACCTAGCACAGACCATTAATCTCCTGCTCCGTATCTTTCAGTTCCCACCGGCATCTCCTTCCTAGCCTTCCTGCTCTTTGTTCCGTACAAGCTGCTTGGCTATCATACCTGCCTTCTGCGCTGTCATCTGCACGGATGCCTGGAGCTCCTCACTCCGCCCAGCCACCTTGCCAGTCCTCCAGAAACATTCACTCCTCTTCTCATCACAACTTCATCACAACACCCCCTTCTGCACGTTCCTCATCTGGTAGCTCAGAGTTAGGCTCTGCCATTTAGTTCTTCTGTTCTGAACCAGAGGCTCAGGACTCGCCCAGGACATTTTGGTGAATGAAGCACGGCAATGAATGCCTCCCCTCCGATCACCTCAAGTCAGGCCAAGTGTGATCATTCTGCAATCTGAGGCAGCGAATCCAGCTAGCAACTCCCCCACCACTTCACAGGAATAAAGCAGCCTGCCCGCCCCACCATCCATTGATCTGAGGTCGGAGTCCACCCCAGTTCTTCGCTAGGAGCTCGAGAACTTACCGCCAAAATACATCTTTAAGAGCATTGTATTTGTAAACTCCCTCTTCACCATTATTTAAAGCAGGCTTATGGCGCAGTTCTAGACATGCCCACTTGGAAGTAAATGCACTTGCCAAGTGCACCCACCGATTTTTCTCTAAGTGTTAAGGCAGAGGTCCATGAAACTGGGTGCCTAGCCGTGACTGAATAAATTTGTTTCCGTGTCAGAAAGAGGCTGTATGGGCTCTTATGTTTTGCAGAAAAAATAAGAATATCTGCACCCCTACGAAGAGGACCAGAGCGGCACTGTGGCCCAGGTGCTGAGGCCGGCTCTCCTCTGTGGCCGAGAGTCTCCCTGTGGGCGGCCTCTGCTTGTGGCTTGGCCAAGTCCAGCGCTGCATGGGGATGTGCCCAGAGAGGGCTGACTTTGTTTCAGCATCATTGCCGGGAGCACTGGAGGAGAGGGGAGGTGTTTACGATTTCGTAATTGCTTTGGCACTGCCCTAATCACTTTGGCAAAGGGAGCCGCCAGCCACACACCCTGGTTCTCTGCGGTCGACCAGCTGCTTTGATGTGCCGCCACTTTGCTGGATGGTTGGCACTGAAAGAGACAGTGCTGTGCTCACCCTCCAGCGCTGAAGCTGCTATGGATGCCAGGAGAGAGGTGGAGTAATTGAAATTCTCAGGAACGAGAGAAGTTTCCCCACCACCAGCAGTGGGAAATATTTACCCTGTGGCTTTTGCTATGTAAGCATGTCAGCAAATATCAAAAGAATTGCACTTATGATCCAGCAAGTGGGTAAAAAGGACTACTGGGAGATTTGGGGGGTCCCCCACCCAACGTGAACACCTCCAGTGTGGTCGGAGTAGGTGGCCGCTCTGCTGACCCTCTGTTGGCACCATAGATGTGAAAAGAGAGACCTTTGCCTTGTCCAAAGAGGCACCCGTGTTACGGGCTGGGAGCCATGTGGGGTGGAAATGCCTCTCCCGGAGAAGGAAAGCTGCTTACATGAACTCTTAAAAACCTGTTTGTCCGCCCAATCATGCAGAAAGTAGGTGACCTGAACAAAAACCAGAGGAGGCCAAGAAATGGATTTTAAGATGGACAACCTTTCACTTTCTCCTTTGCAGGAAATGGATCCTGTCAAGATGGCATGGAACTTCCCTCTGACTGGGGAGGGGAAAGGGGCCAGTCAGGGAAACAGGTCCTGCCTGATTATTAAAAGACCCATGTGAACCGGAAGAGGTCCCTCTGCACCATCACTAACAGTGGCTGAAAGCAGAACCAGCACACACCCAGCTGGGAGGAGCCCCCTGAACACAGCAGGACTTGCCTTGAGCACACGCACGGACCTGCACCACTGGCCTCTCTGCGGGCAAGGCCAGTGGCGGAAGGCCTCGCCCTGGTACAATCTCCCACCAAGCGACGCCGGCAAGGAGGGGGCATGTGGGTGAATTACCGAGTCTGCCACACTCTTCCCGCTTGGTGAAGTACTTGAACCCATTGGCCGCCCGCCGCTCTGCCTTCTCGTGCTTCTTCACGTGCCAGGGGAGCTTGGTGGTGATGTTGGTCACAAAGAAGCAGCCGGGGCGCAGGCAGTGGTAATGCCCTCGCATGCGGAACTCACAGTGCTGCAGGGGGAAAATGGCCGTCAGCACAGCAGGGCAGGGCAGCGAGAGCAGCCACCCCGCAAGAACCACCCTTCTGTCTCAGACCACCCCTCCAGCAAGTCTTTCGGATCTCAAAGAACAACCCACGGGGAATAAGCCTGTTATCCAAGCATGGTTCTGGCCCCTTCCTTCCCTCCCTCCCTCCCTCCCTCCCTCCCTCCCTCCCAAAACAACTGCTGCCGCAGTACACAAGCCTAGTGCCATGTTCCTCATCCTGCCCTAACTCTCCATCTGCTCATTTCCCTTCCCTCCTTTTTCCCTTCCAGGCTGATGCATGTTTTGCCCTTACCTGGTTTGGGCAGAGACACTGCAGGGAATAATAAGCAAACTGGTCTCGCACGTTCACCAGGTTGTTGTTGGGGTTGATGTGGTCGAGACAGTGGGACTCCGCTTTCCCAGAGGTTTTGCACACATACTTGCAGTTCCCAAAGAGACAGTGGAAGTGGAATTTGTTGGCGTACTTGCAATCTGTCGCCAGACAGGGGTCACTGCAAAAAAAAAAAAAAAAATAAATGTTTAAAAGAGGTAGAACCAGTCTCTCTGGCCAGCCTCGGCTTCTAATTTAGCAGTTCTCCTGAGAGAACAGGTCTTCCTCCGGAGCAGCAGCTATGCAGAAAGTGCAGGCTGCTCCTTCCTGGCTCTCCTGCCCCAAATCATAGGGAACAGTCATAAAGCTCGGGGGCAGAAGGCACAGGGCGTGTGCAGGAGCCCTGGGATCAGTTCCTGGCACCTTCAGCCAAGAGGACCAAATGGCAGGGGATGGGAAAGAGCTGTTTTTGCCCCCGGACTTGGTGCGCTGCTGCCAGCCACACACTGCTGGGCTCAGGCGGACGGTAACCTGGCATGCAGCAGCTTCCTCTGTTCCTCTTCCCCATTTGTCTCGGGACCCTTTGAAACACAGGTGAGGGCTGGGGCCTCCTTCAGTCCGAGGACCAAATTCTACTGGGGAGACGGCAGCGCTCGGGGGCTGCATCCCAGTGGTGGGGGAGGCTGAAGGCAAAGTGGGTGGGGCCAGAGGCAAAGGGATCAGGGCCAAAAGTACAGAAAAATACCCGCATGCTACAGCTTAAACTTAAACCACATCTTGGGAGGGGGTGCTTTGGCCTTTCAGAATGGTGGGGCGGTGCTGCACAGAAGCTCGCAAGCCACTGAACAATTGCAAGTGGGAGAAAAGGGGTGAAGACATGGGAACGGGCAGCCCTACAGGATGGACTGAGGCTCGGCAGGCCCAGACTAGGTCCCCTGGCATGTGGTTTCCTGTCTTTGTTTTAAAACCAGGCCAGGATCATACTGTGCCCACCTCCACCCTCCAGCCACCTTTTCAAAGAGAACTCACTTCTCCTGGAACTGGAGGAACCCGGGTTTGACCTGAGGTTTGGCGTTCTCAAGGGAAGTCGTCGCCAAGGGGGATGTGGCCAAATTAGGCACTGACGCAGGGATCTGTGACATGGTAGAAGCCAGTTGTTTCCAGGCGAGGAGTGTTGGAGCTGTAGGCATGGTTGCTGGGCTTGCGACGGGCACGTCTGGGGCAGAGGCGTTGGCCAGAGCGGCGGAAGAAGGGGACGGAGATGAAGGGGCTAAGGAGATCTTGGTCTCAGCAGCAGTTGGGAAGGAGAGTTCAGCGTTTCCTTTCACAGCTCCGCCCTCTGTTCGGAAGTGGAAACTAGAGGCAGAGCAAGAGCATGAAAAATTGGCACCAGGCAGCGTCAGCACCTTTGTGACACTGGAAAACATTTCTGCTGTCCACACTTCATTCTATCTCCCGTTCTGATTAGAGCCCTACCCCTCTATTAAGTGTGGAAATTAGTACTTTCTTGTACTAATGTACTAACTTTACTCTGATAGATTTCTGACCTTGGAGAACCCTCAAAACACCTAAATTGCCCCTCTCTAAAAAAACAAAACAAAACACATCCTGATCCCAAGAAAGAGATGTACACTTGTACCGGCAGTCGCCAAAGAATCACGCGAAGGTGACACAGCACAAGACCAACCAAAGACAAAGCACAGAAACCACATGGCGCTTCATCTACAGTGTTGTCTAGTGACCTGCTAAGGGAGGCCAGTGCTATCGCTCCCATTCTGCAGAGAGGAAGAGGAAGGCTGAGGGAACAGTGGCTGGTGCAGGGAAATGTAGTGAGTGCTGAGGTTCACGTCCGTCCCGAGCTTTCCACTGAGCTGCCCCCAAAAGACAGAGGAACAAGCTGAACCATGTTTCCCACTGAGGCAGTAAGTGGGCCCGCACTAGGAGTTTTATAACTGAATAGGGCAGGTGGGATATTCTATGTGTGTCTTTGGGCATTCTGACGGGGCAAAGTGTCCCATGGTTCTGGGATGCACAGCTTCGTTAATCCAAAGCTCTCCCTAGAGCAGAGGTGGCGAACCTATGGCACGCGTGCCACAGCGGGTACGCAGAGCCCTCTGTCGGCATGCAAGCCAAGTCACCCCAGCATCGCCCCGGCAGCCGAGCATTGGATAACAGCGCACACAGGGGCCATGTGCATGCTTGGAAAGGAGTAGTGGCGCCAGGCGATGACATCACAAGCCGCGACTTGTTAGCCGCGACTTGTCAGAGCTTTCACATGGCCGGTCAGTGCGCTGCAAGGAGAGATATATATATTTGCTTGGACTGGCTGTGAGTTGTATTTTCTAAACTAAAACCTCAGTTTTCAGGTTTTATTGCAGCGTTGCCACTTTATGATATATAAGTGGCTTTTGGGTTGCAGTTTGGGCACTTGGTCTCTAAAAGGTTCGCATTCAGTGGGTTAGAGTTAGAAAAACGAGGTGTCCTGGCATGGTTCTGATGGTTAGAATGTGTTTAGCATGGGCAGAGATGATGAGCGGTGCAGAAAAAGCTACTCAAGGAGGGCTTTTTCAAAATCGCATTGTTTTCAATGGAACTTGACCCCTATATTAGGGTTAGGGGAGTGCCCCAGGGTAGGGTTAGGGTTAGAAAAAGGAGGTGTCCTGGCATGGTTTTGATGGTTGGAACATGTTTAGCATGGGAAGAGATGATGAGCAGTGCAGAAAACGCCACTCGAGGAAGGCTTTTTCAAAATCGCATTGTTTTCAATGGAACTGGACCCCTATATTAGGGTTAGGGGAGTGCCCCAGGGTAGGGTTAGGGTTAGAGAAACGAGGTGTCCTGGCATGGTTCCGATGGTTGGAATGAGTTTAGCATGGGCAGAGCTGATGAGCTGTGCAGAAAAAGCTACTCAAGGAGGGCTTTTTCAAAATCGCCCTCTTTTCCATGGAACTTGACCCCCACATTAGGGTTAGGGGAGTGCCCCAGGGTAGGGTTAGGGTTAGAGAAACGAGGTGTCCTGGCATGGTTCCGATGGTTGGAATGTGTTTAGCATGGGCAGAGATGATGAGCTGTGCAGAAAAAGCTACTCAAGGAAGGCTTTTTCAAAATCGCCCTCTTTTCAATGGAACTTGACCCCTATATTAGGGTTAGGGGAGTGCCCCAGGGTAGGGTTAGGGTTAGAAAAAGGAGGTGTCCTGGCATGGTTTTGATGGTTGGAATGTGTTTAGCATGGAAAGAGATGATGAGCGGTGCAGAAAATGCTACTCGAGGAGGGCCTTTTCAAAATCGCATTGTTTTCAATGGAGCTTTACCCCTATATTAGG